GATCTGCTGGGTTCAATGGCCTGTCGAGAAAGAAAGAAGAGGAAGAAGAGGAAGAAAAAGAGAAAGGAAGAAGACGAAAGTTTTTTATTTTTTATTTTTAAATATAAATAATGTGAGTTGGCATGAAAAAAAAAATCCACATCATGAAAAAAAAAAATCCACATCAACACGTTTTTAATTTGTTTTTGCCACGTCATTAAAAAAATAATAAAAAATGCCACATAAGCGAGTTAACGATCGAAATTAACAGAATGACTAACGGAGTGCATTTCTTAGAGTTGAGGGATCAAAAAAGTACAAAAAATTGTTGAGGGATCAAAAATGTGCAACTCACTAAAGTTGAGGGACCTAATTTAGCATTTAACCTTAATGTTATAGGCAGCCACTAAACATTGCGACTTTAGGTTTGAGTAATGTTGTTTCTATTTGTAAGATACCATATCCCACAGGTCTTTTTTATTATCCAAACACAAGATCTAGAAACAGAGTTCGTTCATCCAAAAGTAGAAGAGAGGAAAGACCTGATTTTTGGGGCAAAACATAGAGAAATGAAGGAGCACATGATTACAATAAATGTTTGTACTTTATATATGGAAGGCAAGCCAGGCAACACTTGAAGTGGGTATGTGTGTATGTTAGCTTGAAATGCGCTAAAGAAAGAGCAGTCATACTAAATGCAAACGTGCTTGTAGTAAATACATAACATGGCTAAGCTTAAATGCATGAATTTGGGGCACATGCAACCCTTGAATTTTATATTGCAAACAAATTAACTATTGAAGTTTTGAAGACCAGAGTGTCTCTTTTGGCACTGAAAATTTTAGAAAGAGTGAAAGAAACTAAGAAAAAAAAAAAGAGAGAAAAGAGAGTGCAAAAAATGTTATTTGGATTTTAAATGGTATATCCACTGGTTAGCGTTTGCCTCTTCTTTCATCTAGTGGAATTCTGAAAACAAGGAAATTTAGGAATTGGAGAGTTTGGGGCTCTAGGCTCTTGGGTAATAAACAAGGAAATTTTAAATGGAATCTATTCTATTTGGATTATTTGACAGGAATGTCAAATGTTTATATTGTTTGGGGAAGAAAATATAAAGTTTATTAGAAGAAACATTCAGTACTTAAATATTATTAATTTTTGCATCAACAAAATCTTTAGTTAAGTGACAAAGATTTAGACTCAATAACTTTAAAGTTTTAAGTTCTAATTCTACTTTATTTGGGTTTTTGTCTTAGTTTTCTTTATTTTTCTTGCTTGTTATTATTTTATATATAGATGCTAATGTATTTCTATATAATTATATTGTACTATCTGAGTATAATTTGTATTGTGTACGCAAATTCACTTAGAAAAAAAAAATGTTTTTGCATTGTGTAATTAAATGGAGAATCTCTGTGTGTCCCCCACGCAGGGAAACATTATAAAAGAGAAGTCAAAAATCAATTTTCTAATTGAAGAGTGTAAATCAAATGAGAGACCATTTAAAATAGTAGTAATTGATTTTGAGGCTTTAGGCACTTCCGTGATTATATTCAAATTAACACCTGGGGCCTGGGGGGGATAAATTTTCCTTTTTTGATCAACACATGTCATATATTCATGGGGGAAATACAATTCAAAGGAGGTAAAAACAAAGGTCAGAAGCAGTGGCCTTTAAGAACTATGACTTTGATCAATTTGGGGGGAAAAGGGGTTGGCTTATCTTCTCGTTGATCAACGAAATGGTTGAATACAAAACAAAAATTAATTGAGTCTAATATCTCGTGTTTTTGAGAACTCCTAGGTGATAATCAGCTTACTACTACATTGGTTAAGGAAGCTCTAGTTAAGTGAGAGAATTTAATAAGTTAGTTCAAGAAAAACTAGGGTAATGTTATTGTTACATTCTTAATTATTAATATTATATTTTTTTTATTTTAGTCGATTATTATATTTTTTAATTTATTAAGAAACAAAAAATATAAATTTTTGAAAAAAAAATTATAATGTAAGGATATAATAGATAATTATATTTAAAAAATGTGGTAATAACTATTTAAAATGTGACAATAACTCTATCGAAAAAATATAAACATATATGAAAAGACGCGTTATATTAAGTTAAAAAAGATATGTTTATTAAATTTATGAATTTTTACATATATTTTGTACTCTTAACACTTTATTTTTCATTAATGCAAAATTTTTGCACATCTCTCAATACCACTCCACTCACATATTTATATACTCCTACACTAATTAGTGTTATTATAATTTCAATTCAAAACTTCTACTTCATGCTATAGCTAGGATCATTTCGCATCTTCTGGATATAATATGGTGATTGAATAATGAGATACGCCAGTCAGAAATGCTAGCTACAATGTGAATCCAAAATGACTTGTTATTTCATTGGAGATGACATCATATATACTTTGGAATTACGATCATAAGAACACAAAATCATGTTGAAGGTGTGTATAGTTCCAATTTATCAAGCCAAAATTTTGCCCAAGTCAAAGGATAGCACATTTTCTTCTTTTGCAAGTCTTTTTCTTTGGTTTTGGAGGCCGCAAAGCTACCTTTATTGCCGCATCAAAAACCGCCTTCACATTCTGAAGGAAAACAGAACAATGAAAAATTAATCCAAAATCACATTTTAAATTAGGGTTTTTTTAAAAATAATTTTTGGTATCTAGAAATTATATTGAATCCTAATTAATTCAAAGTTAGTTCACGTCAAAAACGCCATAAAAGAAACTCTCTCCAATCACTTATTTTTTTATTTATAAGATTTAAAGTCGATATTTTATTTAGGAAAAATCTAACTCTTACTACTAACTTCTACTCAAACTAAGTCGTTGGTTCTAAATTAGCTTTATTAACTCCAGAATAAAGAATTTATGGAAATGTGATGATTTCTAATTACCTGTTGAGTTTTGGAACTGCACTCTATATAAGTCACTGCTCCAATCATTTTCTTCAATTCCTCCCCCTGTTCACCAGATTTTCAATATATTAGCAAGATTGAGATGATAAGAGATATCAAATTTAAATCATAATTAGAATAAGATGTTTAGATATAATACGAATGATATCTTTCGACAATTGTTAACTTACCTGGACAGTTGTTATTGGTGTTGCCGAGGGATGATCACTCAAGTATTGTTTGTCATTGCGCAAATCTGCATTTAACAATGAACAAATGTATAGCTGAAATATATGCAATCAAGGGGGAAAAAGAGTAACAAAAAATTATGCGTTAAGATGAGAATATTTTCTTAAATATTACCTAATTTTGTTCCAACAAGCACAATTGGCACATTAGGAGCATAATGTCTTAGTTCAGGTATCCACTGCCAAAATTTTAGCAGAAGTTAAAGGAAAAAAATATCTATAAAAAAGAAAGAAAGAACGCAAAATGATTTTGTTTGTATATATAAAAGCTAAATTCATTACCTTCTTGTAGATATTTTCATAACTGGCCTTGCTTAGGAGAGAAAAGGCCAGCAAAAACACATCAGCTCCTCTGTAACTCAGAGGCCTTAACCTGTTGTAATCTTCCTGTCCTGTAATAATTCACAAAAAAAGTAAGTGATTTTGGAAATGTAATCCTTAACTTTAGTCTCTGTAATTAACAAAAGATGAAGTTAATTACTTACCGGCAGTGTCCCATAATCCAAGGTTCACTATGCTCCCATCCACCACAACATTAGCACTGAAGTTGTCAAATACTGTCGGGACATAATCCTGTTAGAGAAAAAGGTTGTAATAAACATTGCAACATTTGATCAATTAAGCAAATTCAAGAATCAGAGAAAAGAGAAAAATGCAGTTGGTACCGTTGGAAAAGTGTTGCTGGTGTAGGAAATGAGCATGCATGTCTTTCCCACTGCTCCATCCCCAACTGTGACACACTTGATGAATCTTGCTGTACTCATTTTCTTCTCTGAATGAATCTGCCAATGCAAAAGCTTCTCCTTATGTTTATCTGGTTTGTTCATTGTCCAATCAAAGGAGTGTGGTACTAAAAGAAGAAAATGGAGTGAGTTTGAAGCATAGGAAATGAAGGAATTGGAAGAGGGTGGTTTTAACAACCTGCAACAATCCGACATATCTCACCAACACCCACTTTGGATTTGTCTGATCCAACTTAGAATGATTGGTCCTCGGGTTTTTTTTTCCCTCTTTTCTTGAAGTACAAGGCCATTGCTTGGAATGAGACAAAAAACAGGTATTGGTGTGGTGGTGCTGTTAGCTTGTTGTTAAGGGAAGAAAGGAATGATTATGTTATAAAAAGAAGGAACTGAGTTGCTTAATCAACTAACACACTCTGATGGGATGAAAAACAAAATAAAAAATGTGGTAAATGTTGCTGTTATTGTCATTGTATTTGGTGGGTTGTACTTGTCCCACTAAACCATTGAGCCTTTACGACAGGCCCAAGACAAGTCCACATATAATGGAGGATTGAGCCGTAAGCCCATTCAGTATTTCAACAGTAGGCCTGGTTTTAGAATTATTTGGGTCACCAAACTGAGGCCCGGTCCCAGTCTGAACGATTTCGGATGCCATCATTTGGGTTTAGGCCTATCATATGGGTTGTGTACTTTTGGGTTGCTAGGGAATGGGAGATTGGGACTATTGGGATTTATTGGCCCACATGAAACGTTTTCTTTGTTTTTGTTTGGTATGTTAAACTTTTTCTTTGTGGTGTGGTGTTTTTATGTTCTCCATTTTTTTTTTATAAGTTTATGACACATAAAAAATCATGCTATCCATGTTTTAAAAAATAACCGTATAACACTAGAGCTCAAGCAGGTTAGGTTTTTTGTTATTTATTTATTATTTATTATTTATTTATTTATTACGAAAACTTGTTACTTATTAATCACTTGACCAATGTCATGTCTCATTTTGATAGAATTTAACTAAAATTGAAGGAGTGTTCATTCTAAAAGTAGAACAAAACTCAATGTCACTACTCAAAGTCCTATGATTAGCAAAAAAAAACAAACTATATGGTAAGAAACAAAAATAGAAGGTTAATTTGGATACAATTAAAGTTACTAAATCTTTTTGTTTATGGTAACTAAAGTTCTAAATTTAGCTAAACCCTCACCATATAAAAACTCATGTCTCCTTTTAAACCAGTCGGAACTTCTTTTTTCTTCTTTTCTTTTTGTTGATGTTGAACTCGTTATTAACTCTGTAATTCCTCTGTATTTTTATTCTAATTTTTTTTTTCCTAAAAGAATGGCAATAGGGAGTGGTGGAGAAGAACAAAGGCACCGCCATGCATGTGCAGCATGCAAGCATCAAGGGAAGAAGTGCGATGAGAATTGTCTGTTGGCGCAATACTTTCCGGCAGAGAAGGCTGAGGAATTCAATGCAGTTTATAAAACTTTTGGGGTAAAAAATTTGACAAAGATGCTAAAAAGTGTCCCCAATGATCACCGGAAACAAGCCGCCGACACCCTCATATGGGAAGCAATGGCATGGAAGGAAGACCCACTCCAAGGCCCTCGAGGACTATACAACAGGGTAATAGCCGAGTTGAATATTCTTCAACAGTATCATTCGGCTAGGTCGGTTGGATTGTGTGGCGAACACGGTACCAACAGAAGCCACGTCGGATGTAATCGAAGAAAAAGCTTTCCTATTAGTCAAACAAGCACGAGTTTCCCTAATTATCCAATTGGGTTAGAGAACTTTTATAATCATAACCATAATTTTGGGCAGGATCATAGGGGCAAAAGGTGATAAGAGTTTTGTACCAATTGTTGATTACACCTTAAATTTCCTGGATCCAATGCAAATTGGTTATGAGCAAAAAAGGGTAATCGTGTTCGTCCTCCAGCTGCTAATTTTAATCCTAACGTTGGTCCAAATACAATACAGAATGGTGAAGAGATCAAAAGGAATGAACTACACACTAATTATCAGCAGTACTCTTACAACCCTAATTCATTGAGGTACGATTATCAACGTAAATCTTTGATTTTTTTTACTTTAATCACATGACAATATTATATCTACTTTAATGTGTCAAGAATTTCAAATTTGAAGGTATGAATTGTGTGAAATTATAAAACCTCAAATGAGAGGCTTTAGCTTTATATTAGGGAATTAATAGTTAGTTTTATGTAATTTGCAATTCTAATCATTCACATTATTAAATAATAAAATATAATTACACACACGTGACTGATTTTAACTTTCATTCCCATGGCTTATGTTATATTGCTTTATGGTATACCGGACAAAACATGTCTATTCAGAAAAATTGTCACGTTGACTAATTAAGAGATTTTTTTGTCTGAGTCGCCAAAGTTGATTCCTAATCGAATCATTCTGTTTCTTCATTTTTTTCAATCTATGAATTTCTTAATTAATTTAATGTTTCATTATTTTACATAGATTTGGGAGTACAAGAAATAAAATACCAACTTTCAACAGGAGAAACGTCAAGGTCAAAGGAATACCAACAAGCAGACACAGGCCACCGTGGTTGGGTGGCTCCTCCTCCGGGTTGGGTTAAAATTAACGTAGATAGTTCAGCTCCTTTTGGAGATTACATTGGTGGTGGGATTTGCAGAAATTCTTTAGGGAAGTGTCTCTTTGGTTTCACAGTCCATCAGTGTCAAGGGTCTGATGAGCTTGGAGCTCAATTTCAAGCTATTATTAAGGGTTTAATAGAGGCTTGGACTAGATGTCACAGAAAAATTATAATCGAGATCAATTCACTTGAGGTTGTACATTCTATAACTAACGGGGTTCGGCCTCAAGATCATTTTATACATCTATCTAAAATTAAAGAGCTTTTAGGAAGGGATTGGTGTTGTAGAGTGGAACGTGTTGGCAATGAAGCTAACTTGTGCGCAAATTGGTTAGCAACTATGTTTGCTCATGAGTCACCAGGTGACAGTTTTTTTGAAGTTCCACCAATTTCGATTGCTAGTATTTTGGAGAAAGATTTAGCTGGGGTTCGCGGCCTATGACTAATGGTAATGGAGCTCTAATACCACTTACTGTTAGATCAGAGTGATTTTTACTCACCCTTTGGTATCGAGGAGAAGAAAAATCCATTTTTTTCTTGCTTAGTTACCTATTCATATAACAGAGGTTTTTTTTTTTTTTTTTTTAAGGCCATATTTGGTATTTCTCCTTGTGAGTATAAGGATGTGCTTCACTTCACCATAGTTTTTATTCATGCTCTAAATATTAATTTCAAATTTGAAAGATCTGTTTTGTGGTTCATGCATTTCTCTGCTCAATTCTTATCTATTTGTGCAATTCCACTTTTAAAGTTGTTGATAGATGTCAATATAAGAATAGGTGCTTTTTTTTTGGGTAATCAAAGAGGCCATCCTTCTTCTTCTTTTTAATATGAAAAATTGATATTTTATTGAAAAGTAAAATAAATTACATCAAAAATCAAAATATTTATATATCATGACACTATAACCTAAAATTAAAGTATAACTTACAATATTAATTATAAATTTAAATTATGCATATAATCAATATAAATAATTAGTTATAAAGAGTCATTTATAACAAAAAGTTAAAAGTAATCACTATAAAAATAAAATAAAGATATCTAAATAGGAGAATTATTCTTTCAAGTAGTCAAATCTTTGGAAAAATTTCAGTGAAACTGTCAATTTCTAAGTAAAGCAAATAAACCCAAGTGACGGTCCACTTCCACCTGCAGCCATCTTCTTTAGATAAAGGTTAAATGTCAAATTTCGTTCTTTAATTTTGGATTTTTGTATAGTTTTAGTTTCTTAAATTTTTTATTTTTTTTGTTTCTTAATTATAAAAAATATTTTTTTTAGTTATTTTATCATTAATCTGTTAAGTATGATTATATATGTATATTTTTAATTTTTAAACTTTTAAATTAAGAGATAAAAATTCTACAAAATTTTAAAATTAAAAACTAAAATATACATATATAGATAAATTTAATGGGTTAA